ATAGTGGTCAGAAGCACCCCCCCCCCCCCCCCCCCCCGCCCACCGACCCGCAAATAAATAAATAAGGAAAGAAAAAAAAGAGACATTAAGAAAATGCCTGGTGTGTTTGGAAAGCAGCAAGAAATTCAGTTGAATGAAAAGTGGATATGTTTAGTGGAACAGAGGGAAAAGAGGGTAGGAAGTTGGTTTGGGGCCATATTGTGTACACAGGTTAGAACAGCAGGCTGAGGAACTTGTACTTTAATTCCAAAGTCATTGCAGATTTTTGCTTAGGGACTCAAAGGAAGGTTGTGTTTTTGCTTGCAGTGGAGAAACTAAGAAGTGCTTGTTTATTGCTGGAAGACAAGTGGCATAATTTAAAAGGGCTGTGCTTTAAGAGGCCTTAAGTATTCTATGTATTAGCCCTCACTGGACACTTTTCAGGTCTTATTTTTATCTCTGTGTACCATTTAACACAGTTTTCTACTCCCTCCTCACTTCTCTATTGGCTTTAAGACACTGCTATGTGCTGATTTTCTTCTCTCTCTCTAGTCACTCCTCATACTTTCATGGGCTTCTTTTTTTTTGCTTCCTTTCACTTAATTGCCAATCCCCTGGTTAAAAAACATTAATAGCTCCGCAATGCCTTTATAGTAAAATCCAACTCCTTTGTCACTTCTTATCAATGAATATAGTGCTCTTTTAATACCTAGTTTGATAAGCAAAAGCAATAATAAACAACTCTGGCCAAGCTATCATTAATATTAATAGCCAGTATTTATCGAACACTCATTCTGTGCTAAACAGCTTAACATACATTATCTCATTTAATCATCATCCTGTGGGTATTATCTTCTTTTTACTACAGAGAAAAACAGAGGGGCAGAGTATAAAGTGACTTGCCCAAAATCACACAGATGGTAAACTGTGAAGCAAGTGTTCAAATCTAGGATTGTTTTATTCCAAAGCCTACTTTAACTTTTATACTATCCCTATCCCTACATTATCCCTGTGAGTGAAGTAGTATGGAGAATTAAATAAAGACCAGAACATCCAGGATCTTATATAATGCACATCTTCTTAGTTATTTCACTGCCTTTAAAAATAGGTAAAATAAATAATTTTATATGAAATGAGTTTGGACCTGATTTATGGTAATGAAAAATGAATTGAGGGTCCAGTTACTAGTAATATGACTTCAATCAGTGAGATCAAGGAGTCTCAGATCTCATTCAATATCTGGACAACTTACTTTTCTCAGCTTTATAGAATAAGGTCAACTTCCCCCAATTTTATAAAGGAGCCCAAAGTTTTTTTTTTTGACTGAGTCCTGCTAACTTCCCTTAAAGAATGCAACTAATTAAAAATCTCAAGCTAAGCAAAGTATCTAAGAACAAATTCTTGCCTTCAAAACTGTATGAGGTCTGCTCCAAATGTTTATTTCAGTTCTTAACAAGTTGTTTATTTTTATTTAATCTATAACTCTTTCATCTCACTCTTTCCAAATGTTTATTTCAGTTCTTAACAAGTTGTTTATTTTTATTTAATCTATAACTCTTTCATTCAAACTGTTCAACTTTGGGAAAGTTTCTTACCTCTCAGGAGTTCCAAATTCTATATGATGGGGATAAAATGCCTATCTCATAACATTACCTTAAAAATTAAATGAGATGGGGCCGGCCCGGTGGCACACTGGATGGTGCGCCACTTGGGAAGCGCGGCGGCGCTCCCGCCCGAGGGTTCGGATCCCACATACAGACCGGTTCCCGCTCACTGGCTGAGCGAGGCGCGGGAGCAGCACCGAGGGTTGCGATCCCGTTGCCGGTCCCCGGTCCGGTACGGGGGCAACACTGAGGGTTGCGATCCGTGGCCGGACACGGAAAAAGACAAAAGACAAAATAAATAAATAAATAAATAAATGAGATGTATTTGAAGTACAAGTGCAATATCTGGTACATAATAAATGCTTGATAAGTAGAGGTAGATATTTTTATTATTATCCAGGTATGAATTCATCTGACTGGACTCAAGTAGAGTCCCCCTTTTTAAATATATAGCCTTCTTCTAGGGTGACCACCAGTCCCAGTTTTCCTGAGACTGTTATGGTTTCAAAAAGAAAGTTCTGTGTCCCAGAAAGCCCCACAGTCCTTAGCAAAAAGAGACAGTTGGTCACCCTACCTTCTCCCTGCATAATACAGGCCTACTAACTTATTAGATAGTCCTTTTAAAATATATGCCAGTTTCTTTTGTAATAAATGGAAGTCCTGGTCTTCTTAGGCTGTGCCAGACACTATTCTAGGCATTAGGATTACAATGGTAAACAACATAAAATCTTTTTAAAGCCCATATTCTAGAGGGAAAACATATAATAAACAAAGAAGTATATGATATGGGGTTGGCCCATGGCTCACTCGGGAGAGTGTGGTGCTGATAGCACCAAGGCCACGGGTTTGGATCCCATATAGGGATGGCCGGTTGGCTCACTGGGTGAGCTTGGTGCTGACAACACCAAGTCGAGGGTTGAGATCCCCTTACTGGTCATCTTTTATAAAAAAAAAAAAAAAGAAGTATATGATATGATATATACAATAAAGAAAAATAAAACAGGGTAAGGGGATACAATGTTGGCAGTTAAGGCTCCATTTTATTTTTTTTTCCTTTTTGTCTTTTTTTACTGACCGGTAACGGGATCACAACCCTCGGTATTGCGCCCGTACCAGGGACCGGCAACGGGGTCGCAACCCTCGGTGTTGCGCCCGCACCACGCTCAGCCAGTGAGCGGGAACCGGTCTCCACATGGGATCCGAACCCTTGGCGGGAGCGCCACTGCACTCCCAAGCGGCGCACTCTCCAGTGCACCACCGGGCCGGCCCTAAGGCTCCATTTTAGATGGAGTGGTCAGGAAATCCTTCTCTGAGGGGATATTTGAGCAAAGACCTAAGTAATATGAAGGTACAAGTGATGCAAAGATCTGGGGAAAGAATTGGCAATAAGCTTGGCATATCTGAGACACAGGAAGAAGGCTAGTGTGCCTAGAGCTGAGTGAGAGAGGGGAGAGTAGTTGGAGAGGCAGTTGGAGAGATAGTCTGAGGCCAGACAATGTCATGTATCATAGGTCATGGGTTTTGTTCTGAGTGTGAAGGAAAGTCATTA